AGCCAGGGTGACAGAATGAGACTCCATCTCAAAACAAAACAAAACAAAAAAGTCCTCTCTATGGCCCTATACGATCAGATACTCCATTGTTTTTCTTACCTCATCTTCCATTGCTTAGACACACTGCAGTCTTGATATCCTTGCAACAGGGCAGGCACCATCCTGCCCTGGGAGCCTTTGCTGGTTCCAAGAGAATAACTTAACTCCTTCACTTCTTTCAAGTCTTTGTTCAAAGATTACTCTCTGTTAAACCTTCCCTAACCTCTCTATTTAAAATGTAAATCATTCTTTTCTGATATCCCTTACCCTGCTCTATTTTGTTGTTGTTTCTACTGCACTTACCTCCTGACATACTATACAATAGACTCATTTGTTATATTTAATGTCTATTGGTTATATTCTTCCATTAGAATGTAAACTCTACCAGGGCAGAGATCTTTGTTTCATTCAGAGATATTCCTTGAGCCCAGGCACCTAGAGTAATGTCTGGCACAAAATAGATAATCAATTCATATTTGTTGAATGAAAATGAATACATGATGCATGAACTGCCTTCTTTTTATTTTTTTTTTTTTTGAGACAGGGTCTCTCCCTCTGTCATCCAGGCTGGAGTGCAGTGGCACAACCTAAGCTCATTGCAACCTCTGCCTCCCAGGCTCAAGCAGTTCTCCCACCTCAGCCTCTCAAGTAGCCAGGAGTACAAGTGTGAGCCACCACAGGATAATTTTTGTATTTCTTAGAGATGGGATTTTGCCCTGTTGCCCAGGCTGGTCTTGAACTCCTGGGCTCAAGTAATCTGCCCCCTTTGACCTCTCAAGGCACTGGAATTACAGGCATGAGCCACCATGTCTGGCCCATGAACTCCCTTATTGTATGACTCTGAAGGAATTTTTAATGAATATTTACTGAAAATTCAATCTGTTGCAGAAACTAGTGTAGGCACTGTAGGGATATGAAGGTGAATAAGATACAGAAGCCATCATGATGGCCTGTTGGAAAAGAGGCTGGCAAATGTTCATTTTGGCCAAGATTCAAAGGAATGTCTTTTGTTCTTTTTTTTGAGATGGGGTCTCACTCATCCAGGCTGGAGTGCAGTGGTGCAATCTCGGCTCACTGCAACCTCCACCTCCTGGGTTCAAACAGTTCTCCTGCCTCAGCCTACTGAGTAGCTGAGATTACAGGCACATGCCCCCACGCCCAGCTAATTTTTTGTATTTTTATTAGAGATGTGATTTCACCTTATCGGCCAGGCTGGTCTTGAACTCCTGACCTCATGATCTACCCACCTCGGCCTCCCAAAGTGCTAGGATTACAGGCGTAAGCCATCACGCTTGGCCAGAAATGTCTTCTGTTCTAATTAACATTTATATTTTTATTTTACACTGTCTGTTGATTACAGAAGCTTTTTTAGTATATGGAAATTCAGATAAAGAAAATATCCAAGGAAAAGTTCGTGAACATTTAACCTTATAAACTCCTATAGACTGAGCTTGCAGAGCTACTAACAAGTCAATTCTGACAGCTACCAATAATGTCAATAGAAGTGTTACTTAGTAATTTTGGTTTTTGTTGTTTGTTTGGAGGTGTTAAGTTAACTCCATTATTCCATAAGCCAAAGTCATGAAAGTGTGAGTGTGTTAGAGGAAGATAAGTATGATTATGATAAAAATTTAAAATAAGGTTTTAAAAATATTTAACTTTATTTTTCACTTTTATTTCAAATTCAGGAATACATATGTAGGTTTGTCATATAGGTAAACTTGTGTCATGGGGATTTGTTATACAGATTATTTCATCACCCAAGTACTGAACCTAGTACCCATTAGTTATTTTCCCTGATCCTCTCCCACCTCCCACTTTCCACGTTCAGGTAGGCCCCAGTGTCTGTTGTTTCTGTGTGTCCGTGTGTTCTCATCACTTAGCTACCACTTATAAGTGAGAACATGTGATAGTTGGTTTTCTATTCCTGCATTAGTTTGCTAAGCATAATGGCCTCTGGCTCCATCCATGTTCCTGCAAAGGATATAATCTTGTTCTTTTTCATGGCTGCATAGTATTCCACAGTGTATATGTACCACATTTTCCTTGTCCAGTCTACCACTCATGGGCATTTAGGTTGATTCTATGTCTTTGCTATTGTGAATAGTGCTGCAGTGAACAAAAGTATGCATGTGTCTTTATGACAGAAGGATTTATATTCCTTTGGGTATGGACCCAGTAATGGCATTGCTGGGTCAAATGGTATTTCTGTTTTTAGGTCTTTGAGGAATCACCACTCCATTTTCTACAATGGTTAAACTAATTTACATTTTCATCAATAGTGTATAAGTATTCCTTTTTCTCCATAACCTTTCCAGCATCTGTTATATTTTGACGTTTTAGCCATTCTGACTCAGCAAGATGGTATCTCATTGAGGTTTTGATTTGCATTTCTCTAATGATCAATGATGTTGAGCTTTTTTTCATATGCTTGTTGGCTGCATGCATGTCTTCTGGAAAAGTGTTTGTTCACATTTCTTCCCCATGTTTTAATAAGGTTGTCTTTTTCTTGTAAATTATTTAACTTCCTTATAGATACTGGATATTAGACCTTTGTCAGATGCATAGTTTGCAAAATTTTTCTTCCATTCTGTAGGTTGTCTGTTTACTCTGTTGATAGTTTCTTTTACCATGCAGAAGCTCTTTAGTTTAATTAGATCTCATTTGTCAATTTTTGCTTTTGTTGCAATTGCTTTTGGCATCTTTGTCATGAAATATTTGCTTGTTTCTATGTCTAGAATGGTATTGCTTACATTGTCTTCCAAGGTTTTTATGGTTTGGGGTTTTACATTTTAATATAACTTGAGTTGATTTTTGTATATGATGTAAGGAAGAGGTCCAGTTTTGATCTTCTGCACGTGGCTAGCCAATTAGCCCAGCATCATTTATTGAATAGGGAGACCTTTCCCCATTGCTTGTTTTTGCCAGCTTTGCTAAAACTCAGATGGTTGTAGATGTGTGGCCTTATTTCTGATCTCTTTATTGTGTTCCATTGGTCTATGTGTCTGTTTTTGTACCAGTACCATGCTGTTTTGGTTACCATAGCCCTGTAACATGGTTTGAAGTCAGGTAGTGTGATACCTCCAGCTTTGTTCTTTTTAGTTAGGATTGCCTTGGCTATTTTGGCTCTTTTGTGATTCCATATGAATATTAAAATGTTTTTTCTAGTTCTATGAAGAACATCATTGGTAGTTTAATAGGAATTACATTGCTTTGAGTAGAATAGTTATTTTAACTATATTGAGTCTTCCTCTCCATGAACATGGAATGTTTTTCCACTCGTTTGTGTCATCTCCAATTTTTTTTGAGCAGTGTTTTGTAGTTCTTCTTATAGAGATCTTTGTAATTCTCCTTGTAGAGATCTGGTTAGCTGTATTCCTAGGTATATTATTCTTTTTATGCCAACTGTGAATGGGACTGTGTTCCTGATTTGGTTCTTGGTTTCACTGTTGTTGGTGTGTAGGAATGTTATCAATTTTTGCACATTAATTTTGTATCCTGAAATTTTTCTGAAGTTATTAATCAGCTTAAGAAGCTTTTGGGCCAAGACTATGGGGTTTTCTGGATATAAGTTCCTGTCATCTACAAGCAGGGATAGTTTGACTTCCTCTCTTCCTATTTGAATGCACCTTATTTCTTTCTCTTGCCTGATTGCTCTGGTCAGAACTTCCAGTACTATGTTGAATAAGAGTGGTGAGTGTCTTGTCCTGGTTTTCAAGGGAAATGTTTCCAATTCTTGGTTGTTCAGTATAATGTTGGCTGTGGATTTGTCATAGATAGCTTTTATTATTTTGAGGTGTGTTCCTTCAATATATAGTTTATTGAGAGTTTTTTAACATGAAGGGGTGTTGAAGCTTATCAAAAGCCGCTTCTGCATCTGTTGAGATAATCATGTGGTTTTTGTCTTTAGTTCTGTTTATGTGATGAGTCACCTTATTGACTCAGGTATGTTGAACCAACCCTGCATTGCAGGGATAAAACCTACTTGATCGTGGTGGATTAGCTTTTTGATGTGCTGCTGGATTCGGTTTGTCAGTATTTTGTTGAGGATTTCTACATAAATGTTCACGAGGGATAATGGCCTGAAGTTTTCTTTTTTTGTTGTGTTTCTGCATGTTTTGGTATCAGGATGATGGTGGTCTCATAGAATGAGTTATGGAGGAATCCTCCTCTTCAAATTTTTAGATAGTTTCAGTAGGAATGGTATCAGCTCTTCTTTGTACATCTGGTAGAATTCAGCTGTGAATCTGTCTGGTCCTGGGATTTTTTTGAATGTTAGGCTATTTGTTACTGATTCAATAGAAATCTTAAACATTTAAGGAAATAGTTGTTGAGCATAAGGAAAAGATGAATCATTTGACAGACTGAAGGACAAATGGCAAATAAAATATATCTTAATGCCATAAACCCTTTTAGTCACCATGAACTTAGGAGTAACTTGACTGAAGAGTAGTTTTTTGGGAACAAAACTGTTGGTACAGAGATAAGTTTCTGTATTGAAGGTCATAAGCACATGGGATTCATGAAAATAACAATTAGAAGATAAAGCTAGAAAGGAAAGCTGAGGGAAGATGGTAAGTGGTTCAATGCCAAGCTAAAGAGTTCATACTTAGTCTGTGGGTAATGAGGGAGTCATTGTTTTTGAAGAAGAGCATAATGTGATTAGAAGTCAAGGCATTGAAGGATTTCAAAGATCAGACATTCAAAGCAAGAAGACCAGTTTGCAGGCTACTAAATGGTCCAAGTGAGATATGAGGGCCTACCCTAGGGCCCTGAAGTTATAAAAACATGTTTATAATGAACCCAGAATCCACTTAGTTTATAAAATAAACAAAGCTTGAAAGAAGTAGTAACAAAACAAAAAGAATTAAACCAATTTAAAAAATGATTTTTTTTTTTTTTTTAAGATAAGGTACATGACACCCAAGACAGGTGGTGGGAAAAAAGACGAGTCAGCTTACCTTTTGATTTCTCCTGAAGTGGTGCCACACTGCCTGTCTCTTTGGTCTTCTTTATCCTAAACATTACATGTTATCATAAAATCACTTATATATAAATTCAGGGTACAGTGAAACTCACTTGTTGAATGCCATCACATGGCAATTAAATAAATGTTAAAAAAAAAAGGAAAATCTTTCCATTATAACTAATTCCATCAGAAGCAGATAGGAGCCAACCTAACACCTTACTTTTTTACCAGTGGCTGAGTGGTATGTCTAACTTCTCCCAAGGATCTTTATCACACCTCTCACTACAGTCCTGACTCAAGCAATGCTAAGAGAGAGGGAATCGAGATAAATAGACCATTTGGATAAGTTGAATACCAACTATCACTTATTTGTGCACTTTTTACCTGTCAATCACCTCAATCTAAATGTTGTCATAACTTTTGTTCCCACTGAATTCATCTAGCTAATAAGTAGATTATTGGGAAAATACATCATGATTGAATCTGCTGTGGGTGAGATAACCCATTATAAAAATCCCAAATTTCTTGTAACAATATTTTTTTTGAGACAAGGTCTCACTGTCTCCCAGGCCAGCATGATGCAATCATATAGCTCACTGTAACTTTGAACTCCTAGGCTCAAGCAATTTTCCTGCCTCAGCTTCTCGAGTAGCTGGGATGATAGGTGCATGCCACCACACAAGGCGAATTAAAAAAAAAAAAATGTTTGAAGAGATGGGGTCTCACTATGCCCAGGCTAGTCTCAAACTGCTGGCCTCAAGTGATCCTTCTGCCTCAGCCTCCCAAAGTGCTGGGTTTCCAAGCGTGAGCCACCACGTCCAGCCTCTTGAAACTATTTTATACTTTAAAAGTCAGCAGCAACTTTGCAGTGCTCCACATCTAGAATACTACTATTATTTATATTACTAGAGTGTGCTCTGAGATTCACTAAAAAATTTTGCTTACCCATAAGAAAATTTGAAAAAAAATACACTTTTAATCAAATATTCACACAAGGAGGGAAAAATGAGGGTAAGGAGTTGTACATAAAACAAACAAAAATGAGTACTTCCCTGCTTTGCCAGAACTGCTCCTTCACAGGGTGCTGTGCGATGTGCACAGAACAGCATACTTGCAGACGATCTGACATGTTCTCACTACAACGGCTAAAATGAAGACACTTGAGTTAAAGGCAGGGAAAAGAACTAACATTTATATTTGCCAAGCACTTTATATACATTATGTCACTTGGCCATTACTATTCCACTTTATATATGAAGAACACTTGTCATAACATGAATAAAATATATTCAATTATCCTTCATTGACTTAAGTAAATTCACATTCAAATCAATGTACAATGTTTAGAAATAATTTCACAGTCAAATCACAAAGGAAAAACAGAAACAAACAAACAAAAACCTGAAATATGTGGAAACAATAAGAAGCAAAATAAAAGACCCCAAATTAAGATCCAGAAAGGACAAATTCACGGCGTTTTCCAGGCTTCCAGTACCTTTAAGATGATCGTGTGTATGGAAGGAAGGGTAACAAGACTGGTCCATACTGATACAAAGTCCATTGGCACAGGTAGCCCTACACACTCCTACCCCCTCCCCAAAGGGCACTGTTACCCTTGATGAAAATGACAGAGACCGGGAGTGGTGGCTCACACCTGTAATCCCAGCACTTTGGGAGGCCGAGGCAGGTGGATCATGAGGGCAGGAGATCCAGACCATCCTGGCCAACATGATGAAACTCTGTCTCTACAAAAACACAAAAAATTAGCCAGGCGTGGTGGCAGGACCCTGTAATCCCAGCTACTCAGGAGCCTAAGGCAGGAGAATCTCTTGAACCCAGGAAGCAGAGGTTCCAGTGAGCTGAGATCATGCCACTGCACGCCAGCCTGGCAACAGAGCAAGATGTTGTCTCAAAAAAAGAGACTGGGCACAGTGTCTCATGCCTGTTATCCCAGCACCTTAGGATGCCCACGTGGGTGGATCACGAGGTCAAGAGATAAAGACCATCCTGGCCAACATGGTGAAAACCCATCTCTACTAAAAATACAAAAATTAGCTGGGCGTGGTGGCACGCGCCTGTAGTCCCAGCTACTCAGGAGGCCGAGGCAGGAGAATTGTTTAAACTCGAGAGGTGGAGATTCCAGTGAGCTGAGATCACACTGCTGCACTCCAGCCTGGCAACAGAGCAGAAAAGAAAGAAAGAAAAAAAAAAAAAAAAGAAAGAAAGAAAGAAAGGAAGGAAGGAAGAAAGAAAGAGAAAGAAAAGAAAGAGAGAAAATGACTTAAGTTGAGAGTTAGGGGCACAAGTGTCTTGGTTCCAATGTAACTGACTGTCCTTAGCAGCTTTATAGCCATGTTTCAAACAGTCCCCTCTTCTTTCTGCATCCCCGCCATTGATGTAAGTTACCATTGGTAGCAGCTCTCTCTCTTCCATTTCTGACTCTGCCTTATTTTCTTCTAACCTTACTTTAGACAGAACAATTCTGCATTTTATATTTCTATAGCTTGAAAATCTGTCTTCAGATAATATTAAAAATGATGAAAAAACCTATATGTACGATATTGTTTATTGTGGTGTTATTTACAAAACCAAAAAAAAAAAAAATCAAAGCATTTAAGTAAACTGTGATTAAGTAAACTGTGGATCCTTAGTGAAATATAATGTGGTTGGTAAGACTGTTTAAAGAAGATATAGTGGCATGACAAAATGCGTATATTAAGCTTTTTAAAAGGCAGGATAAAAATTTTAAGTACACTAAAATCACAACAATGAAATCCATGAAAAAGAATTTTTTTCTTTCTTTTGACAGAAGGGAATATTCAACAATAAAAATGGATATGTTAGGATGGGTAGATTATCAAATAATTATTTTCCTTTTTTCTGCAAAGTTCTTATTCTTATTTTCATAATTTAAATTAAAGTTATCAACTTTTCATTTTAATATTACCCTAATTTATTTCAAGAGTACTTAAAAAGAACAATAATATTAGCTGGAAAACTCAAGAAACATCTTTCGAAACTTTAATCTTGTGTTCTAGGTATGACTGGATGACTTTAAAGTTCATTATAATAGGAAGATAATAAAAAAATGTAAATCCTCCCCTAAAAAGAGTTGCAAGTCTGAATACTATAAGTGCTTCACTTTTTTTTTTTTTTTTTTTTTTTAATGAAGACAGGATTTCTCCATGTTGGTCAGACTAGTCTCGAACTCCCGACCTCAGGTGATCTGCCTGCCTCGACCTCCCAAAGTACTGGGATCACAGGCGTGAGCCACCATGCCCAGCCAAGTGCTTCACTTTTTTTAAATGCTACCAGAATGTATAACTACTAGACATTTCTAGACACTCAACAAGTACCTGAAGAACAAACAAATAAATCAAAGCAAAAGCTGTATAGAATGTGAGACTATCTTATTGACTTAGAGATCCCTTTGGAGAGTTTTCTTTCTTTTTTTTTTTTTTTTTTTTTTAATAGAGACGGGGTTTGGGCCAGGCATAGTGGCTCACGCCTGTAATCCAAGCACTTTGGAGGCCAAGACGGGCAGATCACCTGAGGTCGGGAGTTCAAGACCAGCCTGACCAACATGGTGAAACCCCTTCTTAAAAAAAATAGAGACGGGGTTTCACTGTGTTAGCCAGGATGGTCTCAATCTCCTGACCTCATGATCCACCCTCCTCGGCCTCCCAAAGTCCTGGGATTACAGGCATAAGCCACCGTCCCTGGCTGAGTTTTCACTTAATAGCATGTCAGTCAGTCTGATTTTTAGCAGGAAAAGTATTTTAATAATGTTTTCAAATGTCAGTATTCAAAGTCAAGGAGACTCTTCTGGCAGAAAAATTTGTTTCTGATAGTCAATGCAGGATGTCAAATATGCCAACATCTCATTCAGAATCTTCCTTCACACTACTTCAGTCAGACTAGAAATGAACTGAAACTTTTTAATTTGCAGAGTGTTAATTTTTAGCATTAGAAAAAAAAAATGTCCTTGAATCTTTTCTGGTAACGTCACCTGAAAACAGACAAAAGTGCCGACTTGTCAAACTGAATAAAATGGTTTAGATTTTAAAAATTAAATTATTTATGATAAACAAATAAACAACAGGCAAAAATGAATTCAGTTTCACTGGCCAGGAAAACCTCACATTCAGCAGTATTACTAAAAATACAAAATGAGACTTAAACAGCAGTTATCTACCTGACTGCAGACACCTTGGCATCAGCACGCGGCAGTCCTTTCGGGACCTCTAGTGAAGTTGAACTTACACTTTTTTGGCAGCTTTGCAGTCCTGGTAAATATGGCATTTTGATACATTCTTTGAGGTCTCCTCGACCAAATGCTGTGGCATATTCTGGTTAAAAATATATAATAATCATCTTGATTAAATGTATACTACTTGTTTTACTACGTACTAAAATACATAATGAAATACACAAAATAATAACCATAAGTAAAGAAAATTAAGTAACTGTAATTTATCTAGCATCTTTCCCAGGAGAATGGCTTTCATTCTACATCTCGACTATGGGGATTGCAGGAAGGAGTAGATTAAGGGGCCGATTAAGAGTGGAATAAGATAGAACCCAATCTTCAGACAAAAAAACAAACAACAAAATAACAGAACAAAACAAAAACAAGAAAAAAAAAGAAACAAGAGTGGAATAAGGAAAAAGAACAGCTTCACAGATCGTCCACAGTCATCACTATCCTCTGCCTTCATTATTTTACTTAAAATTCCCACCATATTAGATACCTTCACACTGAAATAAAAGGCACTTTCAAGAGTCTTGTATTATCTAGCACTCTGTGTCTTTCCACTTTCCCGCTTTTATGTACATAAGAGGTGTAAACACATGATCATCTGAGCCAGCAACAGGACGTCAAAGAATTCCACTTGAGGCACTGATTTTAATTTTCTGTATGCAAAATTCCATACCAAATCTGTGAACCGTAACACTGAAGCATCAAGACTGGTTCTTGTACTAACCTCACATATCCATTGCACAGAGACATGGTCAAATTATTTTTTTAAAATTAAAAGCATTAAATGGAAAAGAAAAATGAGATTAAGAGGTTAAAGGTGTGGGTGTTCTTTGAACTAAACAGAGACAGAGATTTTTTTTTTTTTTTTTTTTAAGGATTCTCTGCCAGGTGCAGTGGCTCACACCTGTAATCCCATTACTTTGGGAGGCCAAGGTGGGCAGATCATGAGGTCAGGAGTTTGAGACCATCCTGACCAACACGGTGAACCCCGGTCTCTACTAAAAATATAAAAATTAGCTGGGCGTGGTGGTGCATGCCTGAAATCTTAACTACTCAGGAGGCTGAGGCAGGAGAACTGCTTGAACCCGGGAGGCAGAGGTTGCAATGAGCTGAGATCACAGCATTGCACTCCAGCCTGGGCAACAGAGTGAGACTCCATCTCATGCATGCACACACACACACAAAAATTATCTACAAAGCAAGTGTAGCACAGCAATAAAAATGGTATTTAATGGGACTAAAATCATTATACTGAATGTTCAAAATGTTATTTTGTAACTTTTGATTTTTCCTTTTTCGGAAAAAATAGCTTCTCTTGGTCAAAAAACATATAGACTCTCTTTTCAACAATTTGATTTGGGGATAGGAAGGTGGATAAACTGTTGTTTGAGTACCTTTAATGGGAACCCTGTGAGAAAGTTGAAGAAAATATATAGCAACACATTCAAAACCAGAGGGATAAATCATTGAGTAGTTTGAATTTTACTATTTTCAAGAATTATTTGTCCATTAATAAAGTTGGAAGCAGAATTCAGAATAAACAAATATAATTAACTTGAAAGTAAGGGGCATAGCTATTAATATACTCATCTATATGTCAAAAGTTCTCAAACTAGTCTTCATTGAGCAACTATGGGATTTAAGACACGTTCCACATAAATCACTCAAAAATAAAGTTTTGGTTAAATTTTTTTTTTTTTGAGTACAGTGGCATGGTCATGGCTCACTGCAGCCTCAACCTCCCTAGGCTCAGGTGATCCTCCTACCCTCAGCCTCCCAGGTAGCTGAGATCACAAGCACACATCACCACGCTCAGCTAAGTTTTGTGGTTTTTGTAGAGATAGGGTATCACTATGTTGCCCAGGCTGATCACTAACTCCTGGGCTTAAGAGACCCACCTGCCCTGACCTCCCAAAGTGCTGAAATTGCAGGCTGAGCTACTGCAGCTGGCCTTGCTTAGAATTATTAATACAGGGCAAGGTATGGTGGCTCAATGCCTGTAATCCCAGCACTTTGGGAGGCCGAGGTGAGTGGATTACCTGAGGTCAGGAGTTCGAGACCAGTCTGCCCAACATGGTGAAACTCCATCTCTACTAAAAATAAAAAATTAATTGGGCGTGGAAGTGGATACCTGTAATCCCAGCTACTTGGGAGGCTGAGGCAGGAGAATCACTTTAACCCAGGAGATGGAAGTTGCAGTGAACTGAGACTGCACCATTGCATTCCAGCCTGGGCAACAAGAGTGAAACTCCATCTCAAAAAAAAAAAAAAAAAAGAATTATTAATACATAAAAGCACTGTTAAAGATTTGGATGTCTTAAAATATAAAAATCACCTTGAGTTATTTAAAAGAAAACACCATTTATAAAATGGATTGTGATTCAACAGATATAGTACTGCACTGGATATTGAGAAATGCAGTTATTTAAGACAAATTTGAGTTTTTAAGAAAAGAAATGTTCTTTAAAATTTGTTTCCATCATGAGTCACAGAATTACATTAATTAAATTAATTTTAGTTTGCTTCCATTTTTCTTTTTCATCAACTTAAGATGTAATTCTTATATAAATGTCACAGAAAATGTCTCTTCCCTGATTAAAAAAACACCTGTAAATTCAAGGCACTATTTCTATGTTTTCTTAAGGAAAATAATAACAATAAAGTTACCTTTCCTAATCTTTTGTGTTTCTAAAACGGCTTGCCTCCAACTACTGTCAAAAATAAAACAACTGCCAAAGGAACTTCTGGTGACTTTCGAAGTCTCACATTTGATTTCAGGAGATAGCACTGACATTTTGTCTTCTTTCAACAGTGCTGATGAGAGGGAGAGGTTGCTGCAGAGACAGGACACAAAATACAAAGAAAACAAGGCATGTCCAAGGCAAGGCAAACAGATGTGTCAGAATATTTCTCTTTCAAACTTTGAATATCTTAATGAATTCTTTCAAATTCCAGGTTACAAATATTGGGTAATACTTTTAAAAAGTAAAGTCCAGTAGCAAGTTATCACCTACAAGACAACAAAATACTTGGGTTCTCTCAAAAGCATTATTATTATAAAATACATTTGTGCCTAAAAAAAAAAAGACAAATTCTATGCTTCATGAAAAATAAACATGTTCTCTAAGTAATCATCACATTTATTCTACACATGGACACAGAAGGAAAATCAATCATGTACCCTGCTTACTTAATATATTAAACATATATTCGATTCAGTCATAAACATTAAGTATCTATTACATGCAAGGCATGACCACATCCAAAGTGTACAACCATGAGCAACTCTCAGGAATCCCATGGGTATGGTGAGGAGTGACATCACTATGACAGTTACCATCTATGAAATGCAATTTTTCCAGGATCCTTGCTGGGCATTTTGCATCCATTTTTTCCAGCGATCACAACAAAGAATTATAGATCGCCAGATTCCGCTATGCTCATTCATTCATACAAAATAAATTATTTACTAAGTGCTGATTTTATTCCAAGAACTACACAAAGCCTTTGAGAAACATGCTAAGCAAAATGGTTCCTGCCTTTGAGGAGCTTACAACCTAGTAAAAGAAACGCAGATCAGAAAATGGATAATACAGTTTTAGTAAGTGCTATGATTGGGGGACAAAAAACAAGGGTGCCGTGGGAGCACACAGGAGGGAATTCCACCCCAGTCTTGGGCATTAGGGAACCGTTTCTGGAAGAAGCTGACAAAGCAAGGATGTGGGAGAGCCGAAGGAGGAAGAGATGGCTCCTAGCAGAGGAAGAGCATTGTGATGCTTAACATCGTCAAATTGATTGAATTAAAGGTTGCAAAGTATTTTTCCTGGGTGTGTGTTTGAGGGTGTTGCCAAAGGAGATAAACATTTAAGTCAGTGGATTGGGAGAGGCAGACCCATCCTTCATCTGGGTGAGTGCCATCCAACAAGCTGCCAGCGTGGCTAGAATAAAGTAGGCAGGACATGGAAGAACTTGAGTTTTCTGGCTTTCGTCTTTCTCCCATGCTGGATGCTTCCTGCCCTCCAACAGCAGACTCCAAATTCTTCAGATTTTGGACTCTCAAATTCTTCAAGAGTCAGTTTCCCTACTTTTGAGGTTTTGGGACTTGGACTGGCTTCCTTGCTCCTCAGCTGGCAGACAGCCTCTTGTGAGACTTCGCCTTGCGATTGTGAGTCGATACTCCTTAATAAACTCCTCTTCGTTGCATACATCTACCTGATTAGTTCTGTCCCTCTAGAAAACCCTGACTAACACGAGCACTTTAAAAGCATGGCTTTCTCAGGTGAGGGACAACAGGAATGTAGTTTAGCACAGCTGCAGCGTGTGTGCTGCACACCAGCAGGGAGGGAAGGGGAAAAGCAAGAATGTGGCCAAGAATGTGGAGAGACAGGGCAAAAGGTGAGGGTAAAGGGGAGAAGAGAAAGAGGGAAAAAGAGGAAGAGGGAGGGGAGAGGGAAGAGAGGAGGGGGAGGCACGGAATAGTCTCAGCAATGGGGGAGTAGGGGGAGCTGAGCCCTCTCCGGGAAGCTACTCCTGAGGGGTTGCTGCATCGGATCCTGGAAAGTTATTTATTACAACATGAGAAATTAGCTAAAAATAAAGGAGAGAAAGTCTTTAGATTTTGTGATGAGATCTTGACAAGCTTTTTTTTTCTTCTTCTTTTTCTTTTTATGAGATGGAGTTTCACTGTTGTTGCCCAGGCTGGAGTACAGTGGCGCGATCTTAGCTCACGGCAACCTCCGCCTCCTGGGTTCAAGGGATTCTCCTGCCTCAGCCTCCAGGGTAGCTGGGATTACAAGCATGGGCCACCACGCCCTGCTAATTTTTGAATTTTTAGTAGAGACGGGATTTCTCCATGTTGCTAAGACTGGTCTCGAACTCCCGACCTCTGGTGATCCGCCCGCCTCGGCCTCCCAGAGTGCTGGGATTACAGGCGTGAACTATAGCGCCTGGCCCTTGGACGTGCTTTTACACTGCTTGAAATGGCAGTGTTGGGAGTTAAAAGTGAGGATGGAGACCAGACAGTGATGAGCTGCAGAGCACGGGTAAAGAGTATTAGGAAATGTAGTCAGGGACAGCAAAGGGAAGGGAAGAATCCAGCTTGGCACTGGTTCCAAAGGCCCGTTGGGCAGCTCCAACCTGACCTGCCAGGTCCTCTGGGCCCAGCCCATGCTTCCTTCCCTGCAGCAAGGCTTGCTCTCTAACGCTGCCACCGCCCTCTCTATTCTTGGGGTTGATCCTCCTTCCAAGCAACAAAGAAAGAAGAGTGGCTCCTTCTTTCTTTGATGTTCTTGAAGACAAGTTCTTTTGGTTTCACAGGATTTGTTGCTAAAGACTTGAGAAAACAAGACAATCATAAAGGCAACAACCACAATGAAAATGACAAAAAAACTCAACTAAAATATGGAGTAAATTATAATTTCCAGCCTTAAAGAACTCAGAATCACGATCCAGATGCTATTCTAAGAGTTTCCTTCTTGTTTTATTTGTAAAGTTGAAGATGACCAGACAACTTCCTTTCAGTTTTCAGTCAGCCTCCTCCCCCTCTTAGAAGCCCCCCTTCTCAGACAGAAGAGGCCATCAGGGATTTACAATAAATACCTCACACCCTCCAGTGGACATTTGCATTTCCAAACATTCCAGGCCAAGGCTGCACCAAAGAACAGCCCTTCTAGGGACATTTTATTCTATTAGGCAAGAGAAAGCTTTCTTAAAACTGGCTTTTTAGTAAACGTTCACATGATAAATACATGATGATTCATTATACTATCATTATCTCCATGCTTTTGTGTACATCTGAAATTTTCCAAAATAAAAGGTTTTTTTTAAGCCACATCTGGCTGGGCATAATGGCTCACACATGTAATCCCAGTACTTTGAGAGGCTGCAGCAGGAGGATCACTTGAGGCCGGGAGGCTAAGACCAACCTGGGCAACATAGTGAGACCCCCTAATCTACCAAAAAACTGTAAAACAATCGAGCATAGGGGCACACGTCTATAGTCCCAGCTACTGAGGAGGATGAGGTGGGGGGACTGATTGAACCCAGGAGTTCTAGGCTGCAGTGAGCCATGATCATGCCACTGCATTCTAGCTTGGACAATAGAGTAAGATCCTAAAAAAAAAAAAAAAAAAATCAAAATAAAAGAGCCACATCTGCAAGAATATATAATTTAAGGAATGTGCTGAAATCATCAAAAACCAAATGTCTTTGATCTGATGTTTCCTGTAAACATGGGCTCTACCTAATTCTAGTGGGAAGAGAAAAATTAAGGATACTTTACAGAACTAATAAAAGCACTATTTAAAACACACATGCACAACACACACGCACGTAGGAAGAGATAATAAAAAACAAAGTACTTATGTTCTAGGGGAAGCTATTAAAAACTCACTGAAAAAATGCTTTCTAGAATTAGCAGCAAAGAGAATTAGTGTTGAGATAAACTAATTGTTTAAAACTAACAGCTGTGAGAAAATTACTATTTGTTAAGGCACCCCCAAATATGGGTGTATTTAAACATTTTAAAAATATTTCAGCCGGGCATGGTGGCTCACACCTATAATCTCAACACTTTGGGAGGCCAAGGTGGGTGGATCAGCTGAGGCCAGGAGTTCAAGACCAGGCTGGTCAACATGGCGAAACCTCATCTGTGCTAAAAATACAGAACAATCAGCCATATGTGGTAGCACACACCTGTAATCCCAGCTACTCAGAGGCTGAGGTATGAGAATCCTTGAACCTGGGAGGTAGAGGTTGCAGTGAGCCGAGATCACGCAACTGCACTCCAACTTGGGTGACAGAGAGAGTCTCCATCTCAAAAATAAATAAATTAATTAAATATTTCAAATATTTTTAAAGATTTTCTTTTATCAGCTAGCTTAGAACTCAAAGGAAATGTTAAATATTGGTTCACATATTTATTATTCATATACCCATTTGTTCATTCACTTAGCAAAATGTACTGAACATCTGTCATGACAGGCATGGAAGATGTAGTAATACCGAACCTACGGAGATAAGGTCTCTGCTCTCCTGAAGCTTTGTTGTGGGGAGTCAGACAATAGGTAAGTAAATGAATGAACCATATTTATTTCAGATAAAGTACAATAAAAGTAGAGTTCTATATTGGTAATAGTTACGTTCAATAAAGTCACTGTGAACACTGAATTAGCAGACGCTGAGCCATTGTTCATAGAGGAATTACAAGGCTAGGTTCCTATGAGCCTCTGGTCCCAACATTTTCATCAACCAATCCACACATCACTTTGTTCTATGTGTGTTTCTGTTTAAAGACAGACTTTATTGTCTTTGACTTTGTAACCCCGAATGAATGCAGATGAATCTGTAACGGCAGAACCTGTGAATAATGAGGGTTTACTTGGCAATGTGCTGAGGGCCAGGAAGTGCTTCAGACTGGGTGACAAAGGAAGGCCTCATCGACAAGGTGATCTTTTCTTTTTTTTTGAGATGAAGTCTCACTCTTGCATCCCAGGCTGGAGTACAGTGTTGTGATCTCGGCTCACTACAACCTCCATCTACCAGTTCATGTGACTCTCCTGCCTCAGTCTCCTGAGTAGCTGGGATTATAGGCGCCCACCACCACACCCGGCTAATTTTTGTATTTTTAGTAAAGACAGTGCTTTGCCTTGTTGGCCAGGCTGGTCTCAAACTCCTGACCTCAAGCGATCCATCTGCCTCAGCCTCCCAAAGTGCTAGAATTACAGGCGTGAGCCACTGCATGTGGCAATGAGGTAGTCTTGAGCTGAGAGCTCAATGGACCAGAGTAGCCACAGATATCTGGGGGTATATAAAAGTGAAGAGCACT